CTCTCCTCCCTCTTCTTGCTTCTGTGCATTTGCAAGCTGCCTCTTTCCACACGTGCGGTAGGCTCCTGATTGTTGTTGAAGGGGTACAAGCAATCCCCCTTGTAGTTGATCAGGCGGCTAATCGAACAACTCGCGTAGAATCAACAGTATAATTCGCTGCCTGGCTCTTTCTACAGGTTCCCATCTCAGAATGAGAGGAGGGGGTTGACACGGAGTGCTGTAAATAACTGCAGAGAATACCTTGCTTCAAAACAGTAGTGCCTCCTCACATTCTGACAAGCAAGTTGTCAGGTATGACATTTCTTACTATGGCAACGAGGTCTACAATATGTTGAAAAGGACAAGCAACAGTGGTATGCGAGCTTCCCCAACGTTTCGTTGGGTAGCCCTTTAACATCACCGGGCCAGTAACGAGTGAAATGTGGTCAGGTAACCCCATGAAAATCAAGTTGAGGGTAAGCACTATTTTCGTGTATTTTGAGTTTTCTTAATCGAATAAATTCAAATGGTGTGCCATTGTCACTGCCGTTCTTGCTGCATTTAATCTGTCTAGTTTATGCAACCCATAGGTAAAAAATGGAGAGTTTAATAGTCTTGAGGGGCCCTTTAACTTCACTCTCTGGCTTTTTAACACCCTTTAAACCTTTGCATTAACTTTCATGAAGAGAATTGCTAACTTTATTCCACTCTATACAGCACCATTTTTATTTTGCCTATAATTTTGGCTATCTTTCACTATATATAAAACCCTAGACAAAAAAAAGATTTACAGTGTTACCATATTTACTTTACGCACGTGTGCTGTTAGGTTATTGGTGACTGTAGTGGTGGTCATGGTGTTACTGAAAACAGCAACTATACTCCATTTTATACATCAGGTGCAACGCTGTAGAAGAAGTTTGGTCACCAATATATGCGACTACGCGCATCTCGCGCTTTGCTTTCATAATAAAGAGGAGCACAAACGTGCACGCACTGTGTTTCAAAAGGCAACTAATAAAACATCAATAAATGAGAACAAAGAGACTGTAAGTGATCCAGAACAACGTATAGACAGCCATATAACGGGGCATCTTTAGCTCTGAAACAGAAGGCATCTTCATTTATCACTGAGCCCAAAGAGGAAAGAAGATCTTGTCTGGGATGAAAAATAATCGTACTATTTCTTAGTGTGAATGCATTAATTGCAATAAATCTCACCAGCCTTCACTATGTTGCACCTCATGTATGAAATGGAGTATAGAGTGTAATGCCACACCTGTTTGCCTTTATGAACATGATCATTTTCTGCTGGAGTAATCAGTAACGCTAGAACACTTTGGTGCAAGCTGACAATGACCAAGAATGTATTTCTTGTCATATACATTGTCACTTCAAATAGCATGCAAACTGTATGATAGATTTGCTCGTACTAGTATCCTGGGGCTATTCCCGAGAAGCTGCAATAAATGCCTGTGCACAAGTTTCTAACAGCCTTTGTAGCATTGCCAGTGTTCTATGCTCACTATCATATTAGATGAGCTACGCAAAGTTTCAGATGTATCGTCTTGATGGCACAGGATGTCATTTTGCAATGAGTGCAAATGGATTATTCCATTGTTTCTATGAAGTGTGGTATTATTTCAACAGTTCTTTGTAAAGGTAAAATGCTTTGTGCTCTCCTCTCTAATGTTTCAGTGGTATTTGCAATAGTGGCTGGCAGCTGAGAGTGCTGGCAATATTGAAGACACCTTCTTGCTTGTGTGCTGTGCTGTTTTATTTACTTCTGCCATGTAACAATCAATCAATCAATCAATCAGTGTTTATTCAATCAACGTAATACAAAAACATGGTTACAAAAGTATTTGGACCATTAGCCTGTGTGGCTAGTCAGTGGTCCAATCTATTACATGATTATTTTATTGCATGTCAGGAGCAGAGGTGCAGTTAATATGATTATGAATCTATACACAAATTCAATGACAGGGTAGCTTTTAAGGTATATTTTATCGAATTAAATACACATGACAATAAATGCTAAATTGCTGCAAATACTTTTAGTACACAAGTGATAAAGAACTAAAGGCATACATTGTAACAATACAGAAGATAGTGATACCACAAATATTTAGCACAATTTGTGCACAAAATTAACTGCGTTGAAGAATCAATACCATCGAACTCACTTCAGAACTAGAAACAAAAAGAAGGAAAGAAAAAGAACTATGCCAGATGAGTCGTAAAAAAGTGTGGACGTGAGCTTAACTTTGGTTAAGAACATGAAAAACTTACAAAATGCATTTTACAAGTGAATTTAAAGTTGCGGGCAAGTTTAATTTCAAGTGGAATTGTGTTCCAGATTTTAGCACCAGTGAATTGTATTAACCGTTCGCCATATACATTCCTACAAGTAGGGAGGTTGAAGTTGCCGTTGCCTGCATGCCTTGTGTTACGGGTCGGTGTAGAAAACGCACTCACAGGTAGTGGAAAATTGGTGTTAATGATAGAATTTATCAACACCGCGGTTTTATAATTTCGCTGAGACGTGAAAGGCAGTATCTGAGTAGATGAAAACAAATCTGAGCTTGGGCAACAAGAGGACGATGCCGTAATAATTCTTAAGGCGCGTTTTTGCAATCGTATGATCGGTGCTATATACGTTAGATAAGTAAAGCCCCATATTTCGCTACAATAACTGAGTTGAGAGTGAAATATAGAGAAGTATAATGATCGTAGCACGTTATATGGAAAGTAACATTTGGCTTTAATGAGCGTGAAGCATGCGAAAGCAAGCTTTTTGGATATGTAATTAACCTCATCTTTCCAATTCAGGTTTTCATCTATTAGAACCCCTAAGTATTTAAACGCGGAAACGCACTCAATGGGCGCGTCGTTAATTTCTAAGTCCAGCTGACTATAATTGAGGTTTTTTCTTCTGGAATGAAATATGATATATTTAGTTTTGGCTACATTTAATGCGAGCTTGTTGCGGTCGAACCATGCGGAAATCTGTGCCAACTCTGCCGTGATTTCTTCTTTTAGCGTGCACAGAGAGTTACCTCGAAAAAGCAATGCAGTGTCATCAGCGTACATTATGGTTTTGCGTGAAAGAGCAGATGGTAGGTCATTTATGTATAGTGAAAACAACATAGGACCTAGCACGGTTCCCTGGGGTATTCCACATGTTATTTTTCTAAATCCTGAAGATATACGTTCAAACACGACGCATTGTTTTCTATCTGCCAGATAACTAGAAAATAACCGAAGTGTCTTCTCGGTGAAGCCATAATAAGATTCTAATTTCTTTAATAAAATGGAATGCGAAACAGTATCGAATGCTTTTTTTATATCCAAGAAAACGCTGACGGCAATTTCGTTATCATGAAGTACTGAGTTGACGAACTGTGCTAGTGTAAAAACAGCTGTGCTCGTTGACCTATTTGTGATGAAACCATGTTGTTCAGGGCAGATTATGTCGTTTGAGCTTAGAAATCGACAGAGACGGGACCTAATTACCTTTTCAAAAAGCGTGTTAACAATGCTGAGCACCGAGATGGGACGGTAACTGCTCGGATTTTCTCGATCCCCGGATTTGTAAATAGGTACGACTCTCGCTATCTTTAGGATATTTGGGTAAGTTCCATTTTGCAGGCAGTTATTCATGATGCGGGAAAGAGGCTCTGAAAGAAGGTCTACATTTACCTTCAGTAGTTTTGTAGTAATCCCATCATGACCAACGGCTTTATTGCATGGGAGTTTTAGGATTTCTGACCTAATTTCCTCAGTGGTTACGCTTGCAAGCTGAAAGTCTTCCTCAAATATTTTGTTTTGGCAAGATGTAGAGGATCTGCTTGAGATTGAGCAGGAAAGTTGTTACCAACATTGGTAAAAAAATTATTGAAGTTATCAGCCGTAATTGTTGTAGGATTATCCGGAGCAATGCGCTTTTTTTCGCCTATTCCCGTAACTTCACGCACTAGCTTCCATACCTGCTTGATGTCACCGCTCTGTTGGACTATTTTAGCACTGTAATACTGCTTCTTGGCTTTCCTTAACATCCCGACTGATTTGTCCCGACAGTGTTGTGTATGGCTACAAGCCTACATGTCCTATTTGGAAGCTTGTGAAATACTGTCCTTCCTCTTAGAAATGGCCAACATGCAAGGAGCTTTTGCATCTTTGTTGAATCTTTCTACCATCCCAGTGCTCATGTTGGCATGTCCATACATAGGCACTTTTGATAGCTTTTCCTGTAGTTACATATCTTCATATTAACAAAAAAAAAAGGCAGAAGTTCATAGGAAAATAAAAGCTTGTAAAGATGAGAAATTTGCGAACACGGAATGTTGCCGGGGCCGACATTTTGACAAGGACTTGCCTTCTTCAAGGCTTCAGCCCAAGTTGCAGCCTTGAAAAAGACGGGTCCCGCTTGTTGAAGCGACTGCTCCAGTGGCAACCTGTGTTTAAAAAAAATTCGAATATGTTAAATTTTAGTTATTTACATAATTTTAGGAATTTTGTTCTGCTTTTGGAGCTTATCTTAATCGTCATTCTTAATCGTAAGGGGAAGTCGCCTTTAAGCAGAGCTTCAGCGGATTTCAGTGCAACCATCGTCTTTCAAAGTCATTGTTGATTTTTCATTAGGTGAAAGCCCAGTCAAACTACGGGGAAAATGAGGAAAGACAGAGGTGGGGGAGGGGGGGTCAATAAATTGCAAACTTGGTCAGTTGCCCCTCAATGGTGTAAATGAGATTTTTATAAAGAGTGGCGCAGTCAGTTTCTTCCTGAATATTGTGACATTCTGATTGGAGGACGCGCGTACAACACCATTTTTTATTGCCTAGAAAAATGTATGTTTTATTATCATGAAAGTGTACGCCAGTAGGCTCTTGTTTTTTCTTTACAAAGCTTATATAATAATTTTTATACATTACATGCTTAGTATTCGCATCGTCAGAATCATCAGCATAAAATTTGAGTCAAGCCGAAGCCAATTCAAGCCCAAGCCGATTAGGGCAAACATGGCCGACCGTGCCGAGTCCGCGAAACTACAACAAGGCTGCGCGCCACGTAAGGTGCTACACTTCAGCGACGGCGTGCTCCAGGAGAACAGCTCAGAAGAGGATGAGCCACCCGTAACTGCGACGACTGTGGTGGACCCGGTAAGATTGTCGGCACTGCCTACTTCAGAAACATTCGTGAATGATTGCCAGCTGACTTATGCCAGGCATGTTGGAAACAATTCGGATGCATCCCCTGCTAGGCGCCTGTTTGCAACGGTGGTGCCTTGAACTCTATTTGCATCAAACGTGCGCCAGAAGCTAGTCTCTTTGCTTGCCGCTTCGTGCAACTCGGCGACAGCACAGTTTGAATGCACGAGAGCAGGACGGACGAGGCATTGCTCGCGAATTCATCTCGCCGCCGTCCTTTTTTTCTTGTGTCGGCATATTTGTGCACCAGATATGGAGCGAAGGCAGATAAGAGGGCTTAAAAGAGACTCTGTGTCATTGTCGCGAAACATCGTGAGCAGTTCACACGTGTCCGATAGAGGCGGAAATGTTGTAGGCCCGTGTGCTCAGATTTGGGTGCACGCTTAAGAACCCCAGGTGGTTGAAATTTCTGGAGTCCTCCACTACGGCGCCTCATAATCATATGGTGGTTTAGGGACGTTAAGCCTCGCATATCAATCAATCAATCAGTTCACACGTGCATAGGCATCTTGCAGTCGGGTTTTTAATGTGACTGCAGCGCCAGAACGCAAAGCCTAGTGTATAAGAAATTTAAAATAACGAGATGGGGTTGGTCAAAATGAAACGTGATGCGCGCGTCTTTTTCCCCGCATGGGTGGACGGATTGCAGCTGTGCTACGCGGGGAATGCGTGCGCGCGTTTTTTTTTTTTTTTTTTTGCGTGCCCCTAACGGCCAGTGTCGGCGAACTTATGAAGGGCCGGTACGAGCAACGCAGCTCCCTCTCGTCAGTGGACGGCACCTTGTAAAATGCAACAGCCGGATGACCTCTGTATAAGCATATCATCTGTCCCTCACCGAAAAGAAAATTGGTTATTTGGCTGTGGTTCAACAGCTTGATTGATTGCGCTGATGTGTACTGTTGCCTTTCTTATATATTGTGCATATATTTCTAGCGTTCTCACCAATAAAATTTTGTTGGAGTCGGCGCTTGTGTTGTCTTCTTATCTATCCATGTTCAGTCAGCACTGTGCAAACATGTTCATGCTAAATCACCAACTGGCCCAAGCTACCGTTCTTTCTTTTGTGCCATACTTGGAATCTGAGACACCTCCATAAATATATCGCTTTCACACGGTGCACTTGCTATTTCTTTAAGCCCGATCAGGAGTGGATTGCTCTGTCTTGATTGGTTTATTTGTATGAGCTGCAAAAAGAGTGCGAAAAAACTTGCTGGATTGGACATGTCACTGGTATTGATGGCCATGTAACATCCATATAAGCTATCCTCAAGTAGGATTTTTTAAAAAATGCTGGAGTAGAAGCTTTCAAAAATGCAATAATGGGACAGGTGATGCCATAGTTTGTCACCTGGTTTGTCTTGAAGTCATGCTGTGTTCGAGTGGTGCCCCCCTTTGATATTAAGCAGTTTCACTCTGTTAATGTAAATGCTATGCTAACTATCATATAAGAAATCATTCCAGACTAAAGTACCAATCAAAATTACCATTGATCTCTATTGAAGGTTTGCCCAAACTTTGGGGATTCCTATGGAAACCTGTTGGACAAAGGCGCACGTTGAGCATTATCTGCCCTCAAAAATTGCTCATATTGAACAGGTAGTGTGTGCGAGGAAAAAACATTGCCTTTTCTTCACTACACACACCTACCAACATATTGTCTGTCCACAGGTAAAATTGTAGATTCTTAGCTTCACTTTCAAGGCACAACTTCAACTCCAGTCCTTTTTTTAAACGTCCTGGACCAGCCAAAATTTCAGTTGTACATTTGGAGTGCTAAAAGACCACAGTGGTGTGCGGCGGTGGCTTGCAGAGGACGCTGCCGTGGGCACCGTTTCTGCTGCACTGGGCATTGCAGCTGGGAACGCAGGCATTGGCCGTATGTGACTACCTGGGAGAGCACCTGGCCAACTGGTTCGGCATTACGGCACCGAAGTACCGGTACGAGATCGAACACGGACAAGCGGACGACGACGACGAACTAAAGCAGGAGCCTGGCTGGCAGCGGCCTGCAGAGTTGGTGCAGGTCACGGCACAGCAGCCGGCCCAACAACAGGGTCCGCGCTACTGAGTGTAAACACTCTTGTTCACACTGAGCACGCCGCGACTATGGCACTCCAAGCCACCCGCACGCGAAAGTGCACCAACGCACACTTGACGGCGCACACCGCGGTTTGCACATTTCTTTTGGTGGCTTGTCAAGATGACGTGGTTGTTGCGCGTCCCATTCTCAAAGATGCCAAAGGATCAAACTGGGGTACGAGTTTAGGAGAAGATGAATCTTGAAGGAAAGAAAACATCTTTTGAATACTTGTTGTCGCTGGAACCAACATTTTGACAAGTCCGCTTGTCAAAACGTTGGCTTTAAAGACAACCCATATTCTAAGGGTATTTTTCATGCCCTAAGGGATCGAAACGCATATATTATACGTCAACTGGAAGGCACAGAAAGTGTGTAGGTTGTATTTATTTATTTATATATAAGGCAAGCATGCATGCTTTGGTGCACCAAAAATGTTCGTCCCGTATGAATGTTTGTCTGGCATAATACGTATGTAAAGAGCAAGAAACCAGTTTACTTGTGGCTTGCTTGCTCATAGAATTCGTAGACTGTGCTTTTTGCAGTCAACTGAATTTGAGATTGTATTGAACTTGAATGCATGTACGTACTCATGCCTGGTCAGACTGGAATATTTTGAAGCTGTTTTCATGCTTGAAATAGTGTGTAGCTGGCTGCTGCAGTCAGTCATCTTTTCTGACTTTATAGGCTGTTAATGCTTGTAGAAATGCTTTAACTTGTGCTAGTTGATCGTGCATCCCTATGCAAAGATCTGGGTGCAAAGAAAACACTGTTGACACGGGGGCCAACTGACTCAATTGTGTGGTTCCTCTTCTTGTTCTGCAGCCAGTATAATGAGTTGGTAGTTGGCAGTTTTCCTGTCTAAAGTGATCTATATCTTCTCACCCTCCTAGGTGTTAGCACAAGTATGTTATTGCCTTTTGCAAGTCAAAATGTCAGATAAGCTTTGGATTGCTTGAAAGGGTGAGGGTGTACATATTTCACAAGGGAGCTGACATGCTAAGTACTAGCTCTTTTTCTTTGCACTGTCATCAACCAAGTAGCTTGATTATATTGTTTGCTAACTAGAAGATGTTTCTAGCACATATGTCTGGAGTTTGTCCCAAACTGTGTGACGAATGTTATCATAACAGTTTGCTCTTCTGCACTTAATAGTTTGCCTTCTGCATGAATAGGAGGCATTAAATGACTGCACAGAGCGTACACTGTGCATACTGAGTTATTGGTCAGAAAATCAAATTCATGTCAGTAGTCCCTTCAAGTGTTCGATTGGCAACCATTGCCACTATTCTAGCATGCTTGGAGTGGACAATGAAAGCCGATGAAGGTTCAAACTTGATCTAAAGCGCTGCCTTACGAAATTCTGCACGATCTGCCATCCACTTTGGAATAAGCATTTTTTTCTGCACAGCACAACATGCTAAACTTCCAATTATCAGAGTGTACTTAATGAATTAACCCTCGTGTGAAGGAGACGAAGGTTGTGTCTGGTGTTTTGAGGCCACATAATATGCAAGTATTGCTGGCAAAAAAAATAATAAATTTGTCAGGGTGGAGAGTTAGTATATGCCCCACAAACAGGACTAATCAGTAAAGGACAAAGCAAACACATGACACTGCAAGGGGTCATCCCACACTCTGGCTGCTGTTAGCCAGCTGAACTGAGCAAACTGGCATTCCAACTATTCCATGTAGAGTGAAAAGGAGTCTTTTCTATTTGAGTGGGCATAGAAAAAACTTTCAAGCAGGCACTGTTGCAAGTATTACATTCTGTCGGAAGTTGCCATGTGCTATCAAAGAAGTGTTGTACGCAAAAAAATTTTTATCGCTTCAATGCCGTGGAAATCAAAATGTGCTGTTACTGTGCAGTTGAGAGCCGCTGTCAACAAAGACGCATCCTTGCTTCAGAGGATCTTGTTCTTTTTTTTTCTAGACATCTCATCATTTACATTTCTACAGGTTGCTGGAGTTGCTGACTGCAGTGGCTGAGCTGGTAGTGACATTTTGTGGCATTTTGTCCAATTATGGCACCTTTGAAAAAACATTCAGTTGTGCCGGTCTCCTCGTCATAACAATTAAAGAATAACAAATCTTCTCCGAGTTAATGGTTATCCGACTGATAATGCTTTACATTAATAGTTATCACTACAATATTAGCTCTCTCTATGTCTGGTTAGGTCCTGCACCAACAGAGGTCACTACCAGTGTTGCCTATCACATGTATATTTCCGGTAACTCATGAAAACTTGCACATACCTCCTCTGCATTCTACCATGTGCTGTAGTGAAGGTTGTCATGTTGGCATAGGTCGGCAACAAATGCAGAGCTCACTCAAACTCGCCTAGGAATATATCTGCCATAGGGTTCACTCGGACTCGCACTCACCAGAGTTTTCCTCAAGGGGACTCGCTTAGACGCATGGCTAGCTCCGAGACTAAGTGAGTAGAATTCAGAGTCCATTAAAATTTGACTAACTTTCTGACCACTGTTTCAATGCTCTTTAATAGCACTATCTCGCATAACTGGTGCTCTACTTGGAATCTTTTGATCTCTTAAGTTTACGTAGTGGTTGTAATTTAATAAGTAGATTTTTGTCGAAAGATGACTCGCAATATATTTTTACGAAGAACTGCCTGTGAAAGAGTTTGCAATTAGAAGGTCAATACAGCTCCCCCCAGTAACTCAGGCCTGTTAAAAATATTGCTGAGATGGTGCATGAATGCCGTACGTTCATGTATGAGTAGATGTGTATAAACATGAGCTGGCATGCGGCTAATAGTAATGCTGAAGTTGAGCAGTTATTACCACAGGTCAGCACAAGCATATGGAACTCACTTAGACTCACTGACGAAATATAGCTTGCACTTGGGGCTCACTCGGACTCGCCAAAGTTTTCTTCACCTGAGCTCGGACTCGCTAAAGTTTTTCTCAATTGTACTCAAGACTCGCGGCAATCCGAGTCCGAGTGAGTCAACTCATGGGTGAGTTTGCTGACCTATGCATGTTCGTATGACAAGCTGCACTCCAGTTTCTTTTCATTTTCTATTTGGCTTCATGGTACATTTATATACTATGCTTGGGTCATGATCAGCAATCTTGCAATAAATTCATGTTTCATAGTGCAATTTGTAGTGTACACGTATCCCGAAGGAGTACGGCCACTAGTGTGGGTCTGTTCTTAGCAAGCTGCAAGGCACGTGTTAACAGTCTCTGTGGCAAGAACTCGGTACTGCTCAAGGTCGAAACACTTTATTGTCTGCAGGCAACACCAAAACGCAGTACAGAGCCCGTTGCAAAAAGCGCGGCGGGATGGCAAATGGGCTTATCTACGCCACGGACGAGAAGTACTACATAGGAGTGCCGCGAGTGCGTCTCCGTGGACAAAAGTGATTCATGGTAACACGGGAACAAAGGCCTGGTTGCTCGAGCGATGGCAAAGGCGCTCGCGTTGGCTTCAGAGAGATACGGGTCGGCATAGCCTGGCCACGCACTAGGACACCGCACCGCTCTTCGGCCCAGCGTTCGAAGGAGGGGCGACAAAACGTAAGCGTTCGCTGCGAGCTCAAGGCGTCTTTGGAGAGGTCCGAACGAGCCGCAAACAAAGGGAGCCGACGGACGCCAAAGAAATGCGTGCTTACCCCTTGTCGTCCCGGTGAATTTCTCCCTTAGTCTCGATGCACGCGCGAAACATCCAGAGAGACTCCGCGCACGGCGCCTTAGTTGACATCCGCTACTGGGTGTGAGGGGTTAAGCGTCATTCCCCGCTTTCCCAACGCGGCATACAACAGAGGAGGGCAGTCATGTCGGGACACCCGAACGCAGAAAGAGGCAGCAAAGCCCGCGGAAAGGCGGGGGGCTAGTCTTCTATTCCCACAAATTGTACTCTCGCTCGAAAATGTCACTTTCCCAAAAGACATGCTTGCATGTTTCTCTTTTAAATGCAGCCGTTACCTCGCCAGGGAGCTGTTTAATTCTTTGCAAATTCGGTCACCGTTGCCTATGCACTGCTCTTTTGTTTACAATGCTCTAACTTTGTAATGAGTGCAGAGGGTATTATAATCCAAAATATTAGTTGGATTATTAAAGTAATCCAATTAATATCTAATTACTATTGTAATTGAAGTTTTTGTACAGTAACATTTTATGAATTCTTGGGGAATACACATTTGCATAATGGCCCTAGGATACATGAGATCTGACCTAGTCTTATTTCTTATAGAGTGGCGCTTGGGATTTCTGGGGTTTGAAGTTACCTCATATTAATAATGAGGTCACATTATAACAATTCATGCAGCACCAATGAGCTCAATATTCGTGTAGTGCTGTTGACTACTAGAAAGCTGCCAGTCTTTGCTAATTCATTTGAGTATCTCTACAATGCCCAACATCTCTACTGGTTGGTCAATGCTTATCGATGCATCTTCTTGACTAGACTATGGCACTGATTTAGAGCCTTTTTGCTGCCTTATACTCCTCACTTTATTAATGTTGTACTCTGTAACGCAGAGCATTCCAATTTGGAATTTCAGCAGTGCTGAACACGTGCAAGAAGTATATTTTTTTTATATGCTCACTGCTTGTTGTTTATGCCCATGTTCTGAATAAACAGCTGCAGAAACGTGGCTTGTTGTCATGTGTAGGCCTGCCTCAATCGTGTCATGTGAAGACCCGCTTTCTGCTTGTGCCGAATACTAGGTTAAGGGGTTCTGAAATGAAAATTCTCAGTTGTCATTTTTTGTGCCAGTGCCCTAAAGGGCCTAGAAAATGTACTGACAAGTGTAAATGCACCTCAGTCACTGACAGTATGTTTTGAAAAGCTAGTTTGGCATAGTTTCCTGTAAATACACTAGAGGGAACTCTGGTGCTAGTGTCTATGGGAGCTGCAATGCACGGCTCTTCGGCGAGCATGGGAATGATGGGTAGTACACAAATTTATCTAATCTGCGTACTTCTAGCTTCGTTTGGCTTCGCGTGGCTTGCAGTTGTTTTGTCATGAAACAAAAATCGGCAAATGTTCAGCAGTTGAACTTGTGAACGAGGTCGGGACCTCGTAAAGCTCTTGAGCTTTTAGTCGTGTACTCCTCCTAATCAAAATGAATTAAAATGATTGATTGAGTTATACTTCACCACCTTAGATATTTAGGGCTCACCAATTCAAATCTGGTCATCATGAGGTTCAAGATGTTTCGTTCTTTCAGTGAAAACAAAATCAAAACACAGTAACAAAGCCACAAGCAGGATCAAAGCACGCCAGTGCAAAGACTAGGCAAAAATCCGTGTACTGCCCATCATTCCCATGGTCGCTGAACAATGGCTGCGCCAGGGATCCCTCTAGTTAATCTTGGGAAACTCTGAGTTTCGGTTCCCACTGTAGCTAGACATCACAAGCTAGCACAAGATGTCACGACGTTTCCATGGCCGCCCTCCTGCGTCGCTCCATTTGAATGTTCTTGGTGATGTGCAAACGATCCTATTGTTTGTTTCTGTACCTGACATCATCACAATTAGCCATACAGGCTCGTTAAGTCACCAGGATCGACACTGTAGCGGTTATGTGACATTAGTGTTGATGTCGATGGTTGTGCCATATGAATAGTATCTTTAATATCAAAATAAGATATCTTGCCAGCATTTACTGAGCCTCATGCTTGCTCAAAGCAGCCTCTGTATTCAGGATATTTATATGGCAGAAGAAACTCTTTCAATCGGCAACCATTACAACTATTTGGACCATGACTGGAGTGGACATTGAAAAAACATGAAGGTTACAACATCTTCTAAAGTGCTGCCCTACGGAATTCATCATAATCCTCTATGCTATTTTGGAATAAATCCATGATTCGGTTAACACTTGTAGCAGTTGTATTGTACGCGTGAATGCATGCGAGCAGCCCATGTGGAAAGGTAGGCTACTCTGTTTTCCAGCTCTCCTCGCCTAGCCATGAGCAAATGACGTTGCGACTGGCTTGTTTACAACTTCCAGGGCAGCATCACCACCGATCCAATTCTTTCCACATATTTTCTGACTTGCCTGCTATCTAAGCTTGCTGTAAAAGTAGCATTCTAATGGAAAAATGGCCTAGTTTGGCTAACACAGTGACTGCTAACTACTGCATACAAATAATTTTCGGTGCCTAGTAATGTGTTTTATAGGGAGTTTCGTTGTTAATGTGCATTGGCGAAACTGGCTATTTTTAAACATATTTTCTAAGCTAAACTCGTAGCAGCACATCCTATTTTTGAAATGCAATTATGAACAGGCAGGTGAGCACTTATCTTCCTTCTGTATTGGAAACTTTCAGCTTGTACATTTACTTAACATTACCACATTACTGGTATACTTGATTGCATTTACCATGTCACCAGAATGCATGTTTAAGCAGTCTTAGCTCGCCATACGTGAACAATTGCATACGCACGTAAACACATACATTTACGTTTACACAAACCATTAAATGATGATGGCAACTGCATTTAAACTATTTAATTTAGATAACATTGAATCACCGCTGCGGCCAAATCACAAGAGTGGTGCTTAGTGTGTGCAGTATGCCACTATATGCAGAGGGATTTAGATATCGGGTCACCGAACTGATGGCGATTGACATCTTGCGACACTTCATGCAACCGTAGTCAAGGACATGATTGTTTTCGTCTACACTTGGATACAACTCGAGAAAACTATGGCTTTTATGGCTTTTTGATGCCAAAGGACCCCTTCTAGCCAATGGCATCACTGTGTCATCGTGACCATGCGACAGCCCACCTTCGTGCTGCACTTACGAAAGGAATCGCAAAGCAGCATGTCAAAGCAGCCGCAACACCATTGGCTGAAGTGGAAGGGGGCGGGGTCCTTTGATGACGAAAAGCCGCTGTTCAAGTTTATTTCGCATTTCCTTTTTACAAGGGAAAAAAAAAAGCAAGGGCAAGGAATTAAAAAGCGCAAAACAGCAGCTTGACAAGTTCTCCTGAGTTGTATTAAAATATAGCGTTTTTTAGAGGAAAAAAATCGTTGAAAAAGCAACTCTGTCGTGAATATGCCACTGCAAGGCATTTACACCAGAAGTAAAATACACCACAATTTTGCAATCACAGGTTCGTACTTGCCTGGTTCATCTTGGGCCTGCCAGATAGCACCACCTATCTAGTTTGTCGGGGGAGGGGTCTTTAGGCCTCCTGCGTTTATTGCTTCAGTATTCTAGGTCACTCTAGCTTTGGTAATCCGGCTAAAGCAAGGTGATTGCTATCTGCACTCCCACTTTGGATTATTTATACTCGGCGGCTGGAAGTTCTGCGAAGTGAATAACGTGGGTAGCCTCAAATCAAGGTGGATTTGCAATATAGGGCCATAAATGTAAAGCCTATCTAGCGAGTAGTTGATGTTGCCTAAGGGCCTACGCATGCGCAGATTCCTTCGCTATCTGGTAACGTTAAGAAACATATGTACAAGCTAAAAGCCCCTGTTGGAATGTGCAGCTGCATTTGTAGCCTTTTAAAGTACGTCGTGCAACCTTAAAAAAAAAATTAACATCTTTCGGTTAAATTTTCTCAGCATAAAATGTCTTGCATGTGGAATACATTGGCCTTTTACAGCATGTCCCAGGTTTCCATACAAACTATGCCATAAATGTCTTTTTTTTTGCTTCCGTTATTTTTTACAGTATGGTAGTGCCTATTATAGAATTTTTGCTATGTATCATTTGGCCCCACTTTTTGGGTGCTCTTCTGGAAAGTCAATATTGTAAAATTTTCTAATGCAGGCTAGTCTACAGTGCTGTAGCAGCCCTCTGGGAGTTGTCAGGATCGCGAATACGTTGGCACCCCTATTTGTTTCTGAATTCGTGAAAATGTGTAAGCTACCGTGTAAATAATGTAGTTTTTCTCTCCGGAAAATGTTCCAACCGCAAACTTGTAAGCCCTATAGTTCTTATCGGTGAAACTATGAAATCTAAGACTTTACATACCCTGTTTAGCAGAAGCCGATGGTCATTACAGAATATGGCCCCATGTCTCTTAAAGAGTATGCCTTAAGACTCCACATGCAGTCCTGCATAAGCTACATTAGCTCCATTAGTGTTCAATTGCTGCTACTTCCAGGTTCGTAGTTTTGGTGGCTTGATAGCTCCAGATTTATGACATTTTTTTGGTGCACCATATTTTGCCACTAGGGTGGAGTCGTTGGCAAGCTTAACACAAACGCTTCTTAGCGTATCCCGAAACAGTTTGATGCTAGCGCCGTGTAGCTTTGGGTTCTGTTATCGAGATGTTACCAATGCACTCCAACAGACTATCTAAGCGTACCGAGGCATTATCTCAGCAAGGGCGCCCACTGCTACAGAACTGGCATCAGTCAGACCAGTCTAGGTCACACTCAGGAGCGTTCGAGTTAAGCTTGCGGACAACTATACATGACACACTTACTTTTCAGTCACCCATTGAGCAATTGGAAGGTTTTGTTTGCTTACAACAGCAACTACAGCTGTTTTTTGTTTCTCTTTGACAAAACAAAGCCGAAATTGTGTGCAGTACGATTATTTTTTTTTCTTTCACAAGCAGCCACAGAAGACAAAAACTGCATTTTTCGACACACGTGACTGACTGTTCACTGGAATAAACTGACGAAAGCAGAGGTTCACGAACTTGTAGCTTGAACTTCAACTTTGCCGACACTGGTATTACGAGTCTGTCACATCGTTGGCTTGCTGCACACACAAGATGATAAATGGTGGTCACACAATATTTTTCCCCCTCTTCACGGGGAAGTGCTTCAGGGCGCAGCACGACAAAGAAAGGGACTTTCTGTTACAAAACAAAGGTTGTGGAATGTGTGAGGGTTTTTTGTTTGTTTGTTCGTCGTGCCTGGCAGTGTCCTGGAATGTTTTGCAGCCGCAGACTAGCTCACAGGGAAGTTGCTTGCTGGGCGAGTCGGGACAAAAATAGGCCAGCGCAGAACCCATCGAAATGAACATCAATGGAACTTGCTCTGGATTAAGCAGCACTGCTGTCACACACTGCTCATAAATAAGGGCTCTTACATGCTAAGCGCAATCAATCCTTCACATTCCCATCAATCATGTATATACAAAAGTTACGCAGACAAAGACACGAAGGACAGTTAGTCTGAATGAGCCCGAGCTTGAGCAGAAACAAAGAAAACGCCGCAGCGCTGCCAAATTCACATTGGACCTTTGTTATGGAAAGAATAAGCGGCAGCTGAAGTCCAGCATCAGTTGGGCCCCATTAGTCTCCACCGGGCATTCTGCGCTGTCCTATTTTCATGCACAGTTCACAGGGAAAGCGGCTCGGCCGGGTCGCTAGTGCCAGCAGCGCGACTGCACGTTGCCGGCTCAGTCCCGACACCTATGGTGAAGCGCACGCGTGATTCGCTGCTCGGCGTGGGCAGCGGGCGGGGCCTCTGTCGCGGCGACCACACCTCCAGGCGACCGCCCTCGGGCGGTGACAGGGGCGCGCCCGAGCTGCTCGCCGAGCTCGCGTACGCCTGGTCGCTCGAGCTGTCGTTCGACGCCGTCGAAGACTTCCGCCGCCCGAAAGGCGACAGTGGGCATCGCGTCGCATCCAAGCTGAGCTGTTGTCTGTGCAGGCTGAGCGATGAAGCGCTCGCTGCTGCCTGCTCGTTGGCGGCGGCGCAGACGGGGTACAGCGGGACGTCCTCGGGGGCTCCTCCCGCGGTGCCCAGTCGCGGATGCGTGCGCGGCGCCATGCGCACGTCGAAACCGGCGCCAGGTGCCGCGAGTAGTGCAGCTGCATTGAAGAGAAGCAACTCGGTGCCACGCCGCAAGCACGGGGGTCGCCGCGGAGCAGACGTCGAAGACACGTTGGTGGCCGACGTGCCAGCCAGCAGGGGCGTCATCATCGACGCCTGGTCGTCTTCGTCTCCACGGGGCAGGTTTGGCGCTGAGCGCGACCACCGCTTGTTGGCGTCGACAAGCAGATGCTTCCGGGCGCGAGGGCTCTGCCGCTCCCTCTGGTGCACAGAACTGGGCCCCCACGTCTTGCCCTTGAGACCCCCATCCGGAGGCACTGCACCGATGACCACTTGCTGTAAGACACTATTATAGCTCGAAATGTGCCACCCCCACAATAAAGGCCAAATGTTTTACCAATGCATCTTAAACAGATGTACAAGTAATGCTACATGCAATTCACTGCACATAGTGTGTAGTGAATGCACATGCAATAAGCTTTTCTGCATTCAGGGCGCTGTAAGATGCTACACAGCGCCTTGTTGGACCCCCTTATCAGAGACACGCACTGGGCAGCAATTCTTGTTTCTAATATGAGGTGTCTCTTACAAGCAGGTACACATTTTTTTTATCCACACCTATTCCAATGTAGGGACACTAGTGTCTTTTATACCCATTTGTTCCTTATAAGGGAGTTTGACTGTACACCTGATGTTATATATTTTCGCCTCCTAGTAAACAAGAAAAAAAAAACAATCCCTGGTACATCGCTAGCTTTGGCATTAGAGGCACGCTGCCGTGCATTTTGAGTGGGTGCCATGTGGTGGTAATAGCAACTGCACCTCAGGCTCCGGCGAAGCAACAGTGTCGGCAACAATGTGTTGGTGGAGCGGCACAGCTGGCTACTGTGTGTGAGGGCGTTTGTGGCGTGCTCCGAAGGAGCACCAGTCTAAGAAACTCCAGTGTAATTTTTTCAGACAGTTCTGCTAGAGCGTAAGAACTTTTTGCGACAGGTTTCATTTCAAGCAGCCTTGGGGGGGGGGGGGGGGGGGCAGCATTCCTGTCAATTACTCCAAACTGCACACTACAGGGTTACTTGTTGGCACCCAGACATTTCTCGAAATCGCCTTTAGCCATTGGTCATGAGAACTGCTGTCTGAAGGTATCTCGACGAAAGTCAAGCACGCAACTGCTCCTCGAGGCTCGAAGAGACTTTGGGCACGCAGCTAAACTGCATTGTAATGCAATAAGAACGCAAGGCTCAATGACACATCACGATTTTTAAGAATGCATGAAGTCAATGAAGTCAAGGCAAAAAAGTAAGAAGCCTCCTCAAGAACGGGAGTCGTAGCATATGCCCTCGTGTTTATTGGTGCCTGTATTTTGCACGAGCATTGTTTTCAGCTCGTTTAAGACATTGTGCCACTAGCACGTTCACGATGCATCTTGTTGCCATATAGTTTGGTCAAGTCCTCCAATGGTTTCAACAACACTGGCATCCTTTTCGCCGATACGCATCATGTCATACGCTCGAGTTTCCGGCGGCACGGCTACATTGCAGGAAGTAGCCGTGAGGGACTCTAGCGACTGTACTGAGTGGAAAGCACGATAACGGAAAGGGTTGGGCAGCACTTTTGCGGCTCACGCACCAGGCATGGTTCTTTTTCTAGGAGGCATTGACATATTACGTAAGGGATGTGTTAATGCACTTCCAGTAATGAAGCTGATGTAGCCAGCAAAAAAAAAAAAGGCCCATGAGCTGGACGTGGATAAAAGAAAGTCCCACACGCCAGCACAGGAACGTACTTACATGCGTAAGCTCTCAACCGCGGCAAGCTCGGTGAAGCAGGTGGGCTCTCGGGGCTGGCAGGCGTCCTCAGAGACCGGAAATCGTGTGTTGGTGTGTGCTGCACGGTGATGTTGTGCCGGAAATCTGCGAGGGGCTCAAGGTTAGAACACCTTTCTCGTATCTCTGAAGAAATTTTCTAGCCTCTTCGTGTAAGAAAAGCAAGTGATGGGTGTGTGAGTGCTCCGTCACTGGCTCTCAAAAATAAATGTGCATACCTTGAAAGAAATCTGCGCATGGAACCGTTTGGTTAGGTTTGGCACGAGTAGGTCGCATAGGCATGTGAAAAGTTAACATTAGTGATGCCTATGGGGGGCATTTTTTAGTCATGTTTTCAGTGTTGCGCAGCTTGCGAATTTTCTTTTTTCTGCGAGTAAATGGTCAGTTGAAGCTCAACGCTAAATCCTGTCATCTTCACCTTTTCAGTCATTTCTTTTTTTGTGCTAGTTATATCTGCAAGTAATACATACCAACCAGCCGAATTCGCTTCTCTACCACTCATTCTTGGCTGGTGTGCAGAGGGTCAAAACAAAGTTTGGCTTTTTCTGTGTGTGTGTGTGAATAACCAAGTTACAGTTAGGAAGTCCGGACCAATTTCGATCACCCAGGATACACCTGTACCTGGGCTCGTGAAGGTTTTGGCGCTTCACAACCCTTAAAAACATGACCACTGTAGCCAGTGCTTCCTCCTTTGAAGTACAGTAAACTCCTATGAAACGAAACTCTCTTAAATGAAATTGCTGCTTAAATGGAACAACTGTCAATAATATGTTTGGTTTCATACTTATACTCCCCTTAAAAGCAACACATTTTCCTGGTCCCTTCAGGTTTCGTTTGCAAGGAGTCTATTGTACTAGTTTAGCAGAGCAATACAACAGCTACACTTGGCAACGACTTTTCTTGACTTTGGAGTGAAGGCTCAGAATGTGAGATTTCTGCACATTCATGTTGCTCAGCAAGTAGTACAGCAGCTGGCAGCTGATTTCGGTTTTGCTTGCTCATGTCATTAACGCATTTAGAAAGTCATGTACACGAAAAATGTCAATGTGAGAAACATTTTGCCGGTACAGTGTACATTTTACTGTCATTTTACAAGTAAATTTTTCTTGGAGAATCACAGCACGTTTGAGGCTGCACAGTGACCCACTACCTCACATACGCCACATTTACTTTGAAAAACTGGTGCGCTAACTGCCCAGCTAACTGCCCACTCGTGACGAAATCGCTACTGTCAAGTGCAGCATACTCACGTATTACCAGCTATGCTTTTGCTCATTATGGCAGGTTCTTTGTTTGTTTCTTGTTTTAAGTGCAGCACAAGTGTTAACCTTTTTTGCGTTATCTCTGTAGCGAAACATTCATTCTAGTAGGCAGGAAAGAAGTGTAAATTTAAGGGCTCGTTATTTTAGTTAGACACAATATTAATAAGAACTACAGACTCTTAGTTCTCATTAATTTCAGTAGGCAGTAACATTGGCCCACATGTGCATACAACTAATGGCAACTCTGTGCTGTGTGTTCGCCCAGTGTCCAAGTTCAAGAAAGAACGGAAGCTTGTAGAGATAAGTCGTTAAACGAGGAATGTAGCGGGAGCCAACATGCTGACAAGGGAATGGTTTTTGTCAGGCTCCACAAGCACTGCTTGTTTGACTTCTCATATCTATTTAGCACGTGTATCTCTTGTACCAGTCAGTCTGGCCAACAGTGACGTTCACAGGGACCGAGAATTCAGGCAGTTAACAAACGTAGATTTCTCGCAGGCTCCAGCTACATTCCAAGCACAAATAGGCACTCTTTATGACTTGTTGCATCTGTCTTGTCCCATCACCTGCAAGTATTCCCTATCTAGTCTATATTGTTATCTTAGTCTACCTCGCACTGCAGTGTTCTAGTTGTTATAGTAATGCACGACTGCTGACTTGATGATCAGGAGATCAAATTCCATCCACAGCTGGTGCATATCAATGGAGGCAAAAAGCACACATGTGCTAAGGGTGCATGTGAAAGAACCCCAAGTAATCGAAATTTTCAGAGCCCTGCACTAGGGGCTCCCTCAAAATTAAATTATGGTTTTCTTACACAAACCCAAAATTATTATTAAAAAAAAGAAGGGAAATTTCTAGGGCTTGTTTTTCTTTGTTTAGCACAATATTAATGACTGCAGGCAGAAAAAGTGTTCCACATTTGCTGTCGTGGATACCGTATTTACTCGATTCTACCGCGCCCTCGATTGTAACGCGCACCCGATTTCCACCGCCAAAAAAAAAAAAAAACGTAAGACATCGATTGCAACGCGCACCAATTTTTCTTGCTGGCCCGCATGATCACACCACTCGAAAAAACGACTCCTTTCGAGAGCGTCTTCCATTTAAATATGAGGTACGGGCGAAGATTGTGCCCATCTGACGTGTAACAGAGCATTGCAGTCACTGTAGTTTTACCGTGGACCAATGTCAGCACGCGAACTTGCTTCGCCCCCTTCTTCTCGACGGTTGTGGTGCCAGGCATGTCGAAGTGAAGAGGCGTCTGATCGGCATTCCCGATTTGCCCAAGCAGGTAGCCGTTGTTGCGCCGCAAGTTTAGGACGAACCTCTGAAAACTGTGAAGCTTTTCATCGTACTCCTCCGCAAAAGTTTTCGCATATGCATGTTCCCCTTCGGAAGGGAAAGCCTTTCCTCTTCATAAAGTTAGTTAGCAAGCACCTGCTCGCTTTAAACTGGCTCCGCATTAGACCTTTTTCTAAGACTAATTGCATAGCCCGCACTTGGAGCAGTTCTGTCGTCACGGGCCGCTGTGCCGCTCGCTGCTCAAGCACATACTCGCCGAGCAGCTCTTTAATTTGCGGAAACCGACCCTGCTGTGGTCCACTGAAGCCTTTGCGTGAAGCTTTGCTGTCGACAATCTTCTGCGTTTGTTTCCGCCGATCCCGCACGCACGTTTCGGGACCTCCGAACGACCGCGATACGGCCCGATTTCCGTCCGTTTCCGCACACGCGATGGCTTTTCTTTTAAAAGCGGCATCGTGGTGCACTAGTTTTTGGAGTCGGCCCTTCCACGCCATCGATGCTAATGCACTACTAGATGACGAACTCCTCAGCTCACTTACGAAGTGCCGCACATGGGAAACACATAGGCAGAAATGGCTGACGCGCCATGCCGACGCACGTAGGGGGCGGCCGTTTTGGATTTGCCGATGGCAATAGATTGAATGTATTTTTTTTTGCGTACTCGATTCTAACGCGCATGCGATTTATGAACTCGCTTAACCGGAATAAAGGTGCGCGTTAGATTCGAGTAATTACGGTATTAGCGGCGCTAACACTTCCAGGTTTGAATGCACACATATGCCCATAAAGTGGTTGGGAAGATGACAGCCACCCTAGCTCGGCCAGTAGAGCTTTGGACACATTATTCAAAGATCACAGGTTCGGCGTCTGCCATTTTATTGTCCAGTCATCACATTTAAACAATAATTGCTAGAAGTATACTTTCCTGGACTCTCGCAATTGTCATTACTATTCCTGCTTGGGGGGGAGGGGGGTCTTACCGGAAGGCATGCTGATGTGGGCACCCGCTTTGAGCAGCTTCAGGCGCGACTTGCGAAAGTGGCCACCCCGTTTGCGGGGTGTCGGGGGTGCGTGCTCCTGCTGGGCCAGGATCATGACGTTCAGCTCGCGTTCCAGCAGGCTGATCTCTCGCTCGGCCAGCTCCTGTTCCCGCTGGAGCAGCAGGGCCTCCTGCAGCTTCTGCTGCACAAAGGCACGGTGCAGCTCTTCTTCTCTGCACCGCAGCTCTTTCTCCCGACACCGCACCTGTGTTGCACAATCCACAGATTAGGAGAAGTTTTAAACTAGCAACAGTGGCCACTCAATTTGAACTTCATTGGCTACGACACCGCCATAGAGTTAATTGCTGTTTTCAGAATAAACGTATAGGCCATTGTGAACTTCGTGAGCCTGAAAAGGTCAAGGTAGCGAAGTGGAACTGCCAAACGTTCGCTCAACTTCATTTTTCAACAGAGCAGATGCAGGCAACACAGAGCCGAACAGAGCAAAAAGAACAATGTTTAGACAAATCTGTGTACATCTGTGTACTACCCATCATTACCGTGGTGGCCAAAATGCCATGCATTGCCTCACAGTTGCCAGTGCCACAATTCTCTCCAGTGTACTTATAGGAAACTGACACAATCACCCCATTACAATGCTCAGTTGGATTTTTTTCTTCTTTCTGCACAGTACCCACGGATGAAACAGGACAATTCAAGGATAAGTAACGCACATACTTCCGTTTACACCATCTTCAGCATGAGTCATATTGGCGTAATTTCGACTCGAGCGCGTGGACCAGGGCCAACATTATGTTTAGAGAGCACATTCATCACAACACTGCGGTTATCTCGAGCAATTGCATACTAAAATACTTGATGTCACGTTTGAATTCCTGAGTACTGCACATGATCAAGAATCGGAGCGAAAGGCTACACAGCATTTTGTAAAGGCTCTTGTTTCAGAATACAGTTCGACACACAGATGTAATACAAGTACGTAAACAGCATTTTATACAACAAAGCAAATGGATCTAGACAATACCTTAAGATTTATTTTTTGTAAAGTTTTCAGTTTTTATGCAAACAATCAACAATGTGAGATCCTTATATATTTAAGTGTTTTTTTTTTCTTTTCATAACTTGGCCACAGTGGCACAATGAAATTTCCTGAAACTTGGTAGATGAAGACTTTGGCCCACTGAGAAGACAACTTTTTTTTTTTTACCAATGTGGATAAATGCCACTCACATTTCTTTTTTTTTTTTTTTTGGGGGGGGGGGGGGGGTGTTTTCTTACTTACAGGGTTGCAGTTTTCGTACTATGTTGAAAACACTGTTTAGTTATACGAGAATAACGACTTTTTTGTTTGTGTCCCTTTTGATTTTTTTTTTCTGTGGAAACAAGCTGCTCGGATATCTCAAGAGATTCTGCAGGTGAGTGCGCATAGGAAGAGCAGCAATGGAGGAGGTCTCGTACCTCATCGAAGAGATGCGCAATCTCATGGCGCCAGTCCTCCTGGAGGGTGTGGAATGATTCGTGTGGTGTGCTCATGAAAGGCGACCGTGTTATCTTGTCCAACTCGGTCAGGATGGCCGAGAACGACGGACGCTCATGGGGGTCAGAGTTCCAACAGGCTGCAAAAAGATGAGAAAGCAACAGCCAAGCGTTTCTCCAAGAATGCACGCCTACCCAAATGCTGCTGTCCTGTCCGAGTCAGCAACCAGGAAAGTTTATCTCTCTGTTGCAAATCATGCACTGAAAGTGAAACGAGACCTATGTCATCCTAGGAAGGGACTGAATAAACTGTTAGTTCTTAACAAAAAGCATAATTTTTCTAGCACACTCTATGACATCTAATGTAGCTAGATGGACGTCGGTCATTCTTTTACTTTATTCATACAAAGCCTCTAACTCTCGGCAAACAACTAATATTTTGCAATTAACATACCATTTACGTTAATGTTTAATATCTGAAGACATCATGAGTGTTGGAAGTTTACTATTACTGGGGAGCCCATAATGATAAATTTATTTGCACCAGAAGCAACATACGAGACTTTGGAGACTAGTGTAAAAAACTGCAGATCAAGAATGCAATTTTCAAGTCCTATTTGTGTCATGAGAAATTACAAAAATTGCCTGTGTCTCTGAGCATACTACCCGAGGTGCGCACTTGAATCCACGTCGAGGCAGTTTCATTTCACAGAAGGACAAGCTTTAGTTCCGCACAATACTTTTTTTTGGTTCTCAATTAATTTAAAACAGTACAATGTCAGCAATACCAACAATGCTAAGCTATTTTGGGAACTTTCACACACAAAAAATGTGCTGTCTACTGCTGATATGTTCACCAGGAAGCGACAGGTAATCTTTGTTGGAATCACACCTAAAACAATACCGCCGGTCACTCTGATTGGGACGTTTCTAACAACTGTTCTGCAGGGTGCCAGTGGTTAGACTTGTGCTGCAGGCTCCAGTGCAATCAAGCTTTGCCAAGTTAAATAAATGTTATCATTCACACACAGGACATATCAAATAAATAAAACCATACAGACAATATAAGTTGACGAGCAGTACAATCTTCTAAAGTGAAAAACGAACGCTTTCACAAAGATAGGCTCCAAGAACTCATCAGATGAAACTGACAGCACAACTGCACACGTGACATTCTCATTATAGCACGTCAATGGAATTCACCCTCAGAGCTCCTGTTCCAAGAACTGTACATTGCCATAAGTGAGTCATCTACCTAATCAACCTAAGTGAATTTTCTCTTGAACTGAATACGAGCCGACACCAGCAACACGACTGCTAAGGCACCGTGTCCTATGCCATGTGCAGGGTACCTCACCTCTGAAAGTTTGTGGAACACAAAATTTCCAAAAAAGCTATAGTATCATTTTACCTGCTCAGCTACCTGCTTGATTAGATGTGCCATGCACTGACAGAGCAGAAATTCGGGGCGCTAGGCATTCCGTAAACTTTTGTGAGTGAGTGAACATTTGTAGCATGAACTACAGTAACAGAAAAAGACTGTAATAATTTATGCGCTATCTCTTCTTTTTACCTCCTGAGCACACGTGCCCCCCTACCAACAAGACGCTCCAGTGGACTCTTGCCTACTAGTGGTTGCTGTTGCAGCAGTTGCCCCATCCCTGTACTGCGACCAGCTGACAGCTCCTTTTCCTATCCTCTACTATCCTACTCTATACTCCCCTTCCCGCCTACAAGACACTTTGCCTTGTAGAGGGGTGGGCGTCTTCTTAGCCGTCTTTTTCTTCTTTTAACCACCACCGTCAGTTTTGTCCCTGTTGTTTTGGAACATAGGTATAAGCCTCAGGCTATCAACAGAGGAACTTTCGTAAAAGATGGCGCACCTTGCATCAGCTGCGAGAAGGGAGCCGGACAGGTGGACGGGATGGGCAGCGTGAGCTTGTTGACGGCCACGCCGTAGGCGACGGCCAGGGCGTCGATGCCTTTGTAGGGCGTCTCGCCCGTCAGCAGCTCCCACAGCAGCACGCCGTAGCTCCAGACGTCGCTGGCGCGCGAGAAGGTGGACGCCTTGATCACCTCGGGCGCCATCCAGGCGTAGGTGCCGGCGGTGGACATGCGCGTGGTGCCGGTCACCTGGCGGGCGAGACCGAAGTCGGTGATCTTGAGAGTCTTCCGGCTGCGCTCGGTGTACGGCTCGCTGAGCAGCACGTTGCTGGACTTGAGGTCGCGATGAATGAGCGACGCCTCGACGTGCAGGTAGTGCATGCCGCGCGCGATCTGCACGGCCCAGTCGACCAGCACCTCGGGCGGCACCCGGCGGCCCGCCAGCACGCGGTTTAGCGGTCCGCCGCGGGCGTACTCCATGACGAGGCACAGGTTGGGCGGCTCGAGGCACACGCCCAGCAGGGAGACCACGTTCGGGTGCGCCAGGCGCCAGAAGAGCTGCGCCTCCTGGCGAACGCTCTGCGCCGCGGCGCCCACGTCCTCGTCGGGGTCCTGGCGGGCCGCCTTGACGGCCACCTCCTGGCCCCGCCACAGGCCGCGGTACACCTTGCCGAAGCCGCCCACGCCGATCACCTCCTCGAGCTCGAGCTCGCTGAACGCAATCTCGCGCGGACGCGGCTCGAGGGCCTGCACGAAGTTGCAGGGGAAGATGCCCACCCGGTCGCCGATCTTGCCCGTCCACCACCCGTCGTCTCCCGAGATGCGCGCATCCTTGGACAAAACCTCCACCGTCTGGCCCCGGCGCAGCGACAGCTCGTCGTCGCCCGAAGCCTCGTAGTCGTACGCGGCCGTCCACAGCTCGGGGCCATTGCGCTTCGAGGCCATCGGCGCCACTACACCGATGGTGGCATCGCCCAGGGGTCCCAGCCCGGGGCACAGTTATTTACATAGCATTAGGGTTACTGTCACGAACACGTGAGCACAGACGGCACCCCGACGCTGCCACGATGCCGCCCTTGCCGGCCGCACACGCTGCGCATACTGGAACACCGCGGCCACAAGAGAAGCCGTCAACGACGCCAAGTCTCCGCTGTCAGGATCCGAGCACTGGCGTCAGCCTGATGCGCCGCCATTCTTCCCAAGCTTCGAGAGAAGCCCAGCTGTGCCTCGCCGCGGCGCCACCGTCGCTTGTCACTTTCATAGACGCGAATGAAGACTAGTGGGACGTGTGCGTGCGTTGCGACAAATTTTAAATGACGCTAATGATGCACTTGAAATTTTATCAGCAGCTTGCTGGCCGGAGAATAGAAAGTACAAAATAAAACAGTGTGTTACAATTCACGGTAGGTAATTGTGGGGTAGTTGACGGGGAAAATCTAATAAATCGAAAACGAGTTTCCTAAGGACATAGAGTTTCATACAATAATTGTATCAAACTCTATGCCTGAGGGTGAAGAACAAAGCTGCAGCTACAAAAATTTTTTCGTCGTCATTCCAACCGACTAAAGTGCTTGTTTTATGCTTGTTTTAATAAAAGTTCATATCTTCTCCTCTGAACGCACTCTAACGCCTACGGATTGTAGCATAAATGAGGCACAATCACGTGAATTTACGCGCGATGTTCAAACACGTTATTTTTGGAAAGGTAGGTAGGTAGGTAGTAAACTTTATTCACTCAGTTGACAGGAGAGAGTTGGGGACGGCTTTAAGGGCCGGCCCCTTACAAAATCTAGAAGGAGTCCCTAGTCCGGGACCCCTGTGGCTTCTGCTGCAGCACGCGCTCGGGCCACTAGGGCACGCTGGTCCTCTAGGGTCGAGCAACCGAGCAGGGCAGCCTCCCAGCTCTCTCGGGTAGGGAGGGAAGGGGAAGGAAGTGGCGGGACCGCCGGATTTGAGGGGCATGCCCACACCATATGGAAAGGATCCGCGAACGGATGGTCACAGTGCGGGCATTCCCCAGAGAATGCCGGATTGAAATGTTTGAGTATCGCCGGGCACAATACTGTATTGGTATAGAGACGGAGGAGCCAGCGCTCGTCCTTCTTGGGCAGGCCCGATGCTGGGGGTGGGAAGCGGAGCCTGTTCGATTTGTACATAGCGATGATTTCTCTGAAAGAGGTAGCCGGATTGGGTTCTGGAACATCAGGCGATGGAGGGCGAGGCGGGTCCCGGTAATTAAGCGCGCGGGCCGAGGCATCTGCAGCCTCGTTTCCAACTAGCCCCGTATGAGCAGGAGTCCAGATGACGGTGCGTGGATTTGGACGATCTAGATAATAGCATCGCTTAAGGATTTCGGCGGCGCGATCATTGATGCAACCCCGTGTGAGATTTTGGCACGCCCTCCGCGAATCGGTAATAATTATCCGAGATGCGGGGTCCGCTGCGGCGAGGGCTATGGCGACCTCCTCCGCGTGTGTGATGTCCGGTGCTCGAAAGGTGAGCCCTTGAATAGGTACGTTTTGGTGAACCACAGCGGCCGTGTACCACTCGCCGAGGTGGGGGCCGGATGCGTCCGTGTAGAAGACTCCCGGGCGTGAGCCATACCGTTGCTGTAGGGCTGTAGCCCGCGCTGTACGCCGCCCATCGTGAGTCCCATTTGTCATGTTTTGGGGCAGAGGCGGAAGGATCAGTGCACCACGCCAATCCTCAGGGATCGCGGTACGCTCTTCCACCTTGTGGGTGTTGGAAATGTGGAGGCGGTGTAGGAGGTTGTTCCCATCCTGAGACCTACCAAGGCGCAGGTACTGGTTATTGAGATGAGCCTCTTTAAGTTCCCCGTACGTGTTTGTCATGCCCAGGTCTGCGAGACGTTGGTTCGACGTTGAGATGGGGAGATCTAGGGCACGTTTGTAAATTTTGCGGAGTATACAGTCTAGTGTATTCTCGTCGCATTTTGCGCAGACGCAGGTAAGGTGTAGAATAAAGGATCCGGCTGGTCACGAAAGCGTTGGCGAGGCGCAGAGCAGCACGGCTCTTGAGACCTCCTCGCTTGTTCGAAACCCGGCGGATCATGCGGACCACCTGATCCCCCACAGTGCGTAGTTTGCGCAGAGTGGTGTCAATTTTGCGGTGTTTGTGTATGAAGAGTCCCAGGACTCTGATTTCGTCGCGTTCCGGAATGGCCCTGTTACACAAGGTGAGTTCAATTTGTGTCGTGTCGTTCGGTTTGGGGCGAAGATGCACGTATTCCGATTTGGTGGGTGAGCATTCGAGACCGCAGCCGCGGGCGTAGCTGTCAACTATCGACGCGGCATGTTGCAGGCATGTCTCGATGCTACCAAGGGAACCCTGAGTTGCCCATAACGTGATGTCGTCGGCGTACAGAACGTGCTGCACGCCTGGGACATCGTTTAGCAATGAGGGAAGGTGAGTCATGGCAAGATTGAACAGAAGAGGAGAGAGGACTGCTCCCTGTGGTGTTCCGCGCGTACCGAGGGGGTACGATCCATGCTCCTTGTCTTGAATACGCAGGTATGTCTGCCGTTCTATGAGGAATTGGCGGACGTACCTAAAAGCATCATGCCCACAGTTTGTTTGCGATAGGTTGGTAAGGATGATGTCATGGGTAACGCTATCGAAAGCTCCCTTGAGATCTAAGGCGAGGACTACCTTGTCGTCACTGGGATGTTCGACCGGTTCGACAACGTCACGATGGAGTTGCAGGAGGATGTCCTGAGCAGAGCGATGTGGGCGGAAGCCGTGCATAGTGTCTGCAAAAGTGTGTCGGGCCTCTAAGTATTCAGAGAGCCTGTCCCGGACCATGGCTTCCATAAGTTTCCCTACGCATGAGGTTAGGGAAATTGGTCTGAGATTGTCGATGTTTACAGATTTGCCTGATTTAGGGATGAAAGTTACTAAGGCCGTTTTCCAATCGAGCGGTAGGGGTTCGCGCCCCTCCCAGATCTGATTGAAGTAGTCGAGGAGGTGAATGTACGCCGAGTCAGGGAGGTTGGCTAGGAGCCGAACCGTCACTCGATCCCGACCTGGCGCTGTGCCTCGTTTCATTTTGGACAGGGCCGCCTTCAGATGGTGGAGCTGAAAGCAACGATCCAACTCAGCGTTTTCCGTGCCTGCATATGAATACGCCGGTCCGATGGGGTCCTGTTGGCTACAGAGATATTTGTCTCTGAGAGCCTGTGCCAATTTTTCCGCGTCACCCGCATAGGCGTGAAGTGCGCGCTGAAGGTGTTTCTGTGTTTCTGTGCGTGTTTGGCTAGGGTCGATGAGAGCCCTAAAGAGACGCCAGGTGTTGCGGCTTGACATCTGTGTGGCGGCAGTGTTGCAGCGCTCTACCCAGTTTGAGTCGGCGAGCTGGGCCGCGTACTCGTCGGCCTCTAGGGTGAGAGCCGCTATGCGGATTTTGAGCTGTCGGTTGCGCGCTCGCAGCGCCCTCCTGGAAAGGCGTACAACGTTTACAGATTGCACTATGAATAATGTAAGCGTAGTGTAGGGACATGCATTGATATATGAGCCACTCACGGCTAACGCAGGCAGGGATTTCTTTTTCTTTTTTTCCTTTCCACTAGACGGGCGGAATTCGCCCCTTTCTTATTTCGCGCGTGCGCTTTTGCGTTGAGCGCCTAAAGATCACCCTCTCCCTCTGCTTTCGGCACGTCGCATGGTCTTTATAGTGATAATGATTACTTTAATGGCGGGTGAAGTGTTACGCTTTCTTGTGGTGTAATGAGTCTACTGTTTTATTGAAAGCACGTACTCCGCAAAACGATTGCAACTGCAGAGAAACACATGTTCTAAAAGAATATTTTTTCACATACAAAAAAAATGCGTATCTACAGAAGTCAATTGATCTCAGCACGTGACGTAACCAGTCATATGGTGAGTGGGTGGGTGTAAAACTTTATTGTTGTGTGGCAAGACGCACGTTAGTGCGCAGCGAACGACTCCAACGTCGACGTCGGAACCGTGGCCAGTCCAAGCCTGTCAGGCGCTCCGCGGGCCTGCTGGACGGCCCAGAGTTGGTCCGAGGGGAGAGCTGCGGAGGGTCGCCTCCCACCTGGCCGAAGTAGTGTCGGGGTTAGTGTTCATTGCCTTACACTCCTAGAGCATGTGTGGAAGCGTGGACGTATCCTCCCCACACGCCATTTATCCCGAAGCATTCCTCAATGACTTTTGCCCTGCATGCGGGGATGTATCCACAGTCGTACGGTGATCGAGATTAAAAAAAAAAATAAACTTGATAGACTCTTTTTTCATGTCATCGATGCGTAAGTCATGACTGATTTAATTCTCGAGGGGTTGCATCTAATTTAATGTAAGTGAAAATAATGAACACGCAACCCAACCAATTAGAAGTTCTCTTAAAGAATAACATCTAGTTTTAAGAAAAGTTATTGATTAACGTGCACAGCGGGCGCACCTTTCATTATGCTGTTCTGCGAAACGTTTCAGCGCAACTGCTGCACTTCAAACTGCCATTCGCGGTGCACTGCCGGAGGAAGTCAACATGTGCAGAGCTTCGTTCATTTTCATGAATGCCAGCTGTCCACTTGACGCAGGTCAAGGTCGAGCAATTTATGTGCCCAATGCACGCAATTTCTATTAATAGTTCCGTGAAAATTCTTTCCGCTGAAATATCGAATTTCTCTCTTAATCTGAAGCGTAGAATTCACTTGGGATTTTATTATGTTATATCTAATACGGGAGAGTGGTGGGTGAGGGGATCTACACTATATATCACGTGCCTATTTTTTTTATATGCACCTACATTGGGTTGTGGGTTATTATTATTATTATTATTTAATATACGTTATCTTGCACGTCGCAAGAGCCAGCCATGTGAAAAGTGTGGTTAAAGCTTGCTCTTGAAGCGGTGTTTTTAAAGCCGTCGTACTAAACATCATTCAGGCTTTTTTTTAATTTGTCAACGTTACGCCACCAATCAAGCCCGATTTCTGGGATTCCTCTCAATTCATGGTTCAGACCGTCATCAATATGTTTTCCTATCACGTCGTGAATTGATGTCAACACCCCGGTTAATTATGTCAACACCCCGGTTAATTACAAACATGCAGTTTCTCGAGAAAATTTATGATTACAAATGATGCATGCCTCTGTCACCGATAGCTGCTGCAGCCTGCAGCTATGGCCTAAACTAAATTTCGGTCGCACTGCTATTTGCTGGTCCCATCGCCATCGCAGCTATCGGCTTGCAGCAAGTCATCGCAAGCCAGTCCACAATCGTGCCGATTTTTCGAGCTTGCTGTTGGGGCTCTTCGATCCGGCGAGTCACGGTCGCTGGCTTCATATCGCTATGGTAAATACCTGCGGTTTTCTGGCACTTTTGTATTAATCAGCTATTACGCTCTCCCTTTCGCATGCTCAAGACAC